CAACAGGGAAAGCACTTGCAGAACGATCCCAGCAATTCAATGGCGCGACAAACACTTCAACAGTCTGTAGCAAGGATGCCCACTCCTTTTTCTACTGCTGCCCTACTGCATAAGAGTGTGCCATGGACTGATCTCTGCCTGCAGGACCATTTAGATCTCCTTTTACTGAAGAGTCGCTTAGTCTTGCACATTGCCCTGCACATGATCAACAGAACTGAAAACCTATTCTGAAAAACCACACAACCACAGGCCCAGCATTGCAAGCCACCATGCCTTCCGAAGCCATTTGGAGACATTCAGATCCTCTAACCCCAAATGCTCTGCCGAACACTCAGCCATCCGTCTGAACCGAACTGCTGACTGGCCCGTCTCATGACTTTTTTCTCATGGCTTGTTTCTAAACTTGCCGTTTGATCCACTACCGATTTTAAACTGGCTCTATACTGCTGAGAGTGAGCTGGTGAGACAAAGCAGAATTGCAATAAATAATGGACAGATGTACGAACCATGACCGAGGTGAAAAGCAACAAAACTAGCTGACTAGATGTACTTGAGTTGCCAGAGAGGCCTTTAACACTGAAATGAAGTTGTAAGGATCCAGAATTTAGCCACAATCCAAGACATGCTGTGCCCAAATTGCAATTCTGTACAGAATTCACTTCCAGAGAATCTCGGCTTTCATATTAAAGAATAAAAGCTCCTAAACCTCGCTGCTGAAAAGGTGTGCTGAAGCATCCACAGACAACGCCTGGTGAACTGTCAGAATTTCAAAGAGTAACTTCCCAGTGATTGACAGGTGGAGCATCAGTGCCCTACACAGCATTTCACCCTTCCTGTGGCAGCAGTTAGTAACCAGCTATTCGATCGGTCCATATTCAAGACCGGCACTGCATTATTTTAACATCTGTAGCAATCAAATGTCTCCCTTTTTCAGCAGCCACTACCCCAAACCCATCTGGCCTCCTGTAATTGATGGGACTGTTTTACAAACCTCCAGTTAACGACAATCATGAAAACCAATAGCTTCTAATGCATTTATTTACATCACTGACCCCATCTTTTTCCCTAGGGGGACCCAAAGAAGCTTACATAGTTCCCCCCCTCCTCCATTTTAACCTCACAACAACCCTGTAAAGTAGGCTGGGGTGAGAGGGTGAGACTGGTCCAAGGCCCCTAGTAAGCTTCCACATGGGAGAATGGGGTTCAAACCTGGTACTTGTAAATACAGGAACAGCCATTGCCTGCAGGCCAGGGCTATGCAAAGGCCTGGTTGCCTTCGGCTGAAATTTTTAAAATGGCATCCAAAACATCTCTGCCCTGGCTCCTGGGTGCACGCACAGAGCCCCCTGCACTTTGGGTGTCAGGTACAAATCTTCAAGACAGATATGAGTGATGATCTATGCCCTAGATACGTAGCCATAAAACAGCTCTCTTGCATTCTGGGCAGGAAGCTGGGGTTCTGCATCTCTCACTCCTGAGGTTTGGCAGTTTCCTCTCCCCTCCCTCCCGCTGGCCAGCACGGGACTGCAACTGCCTTTCATTCAATACTGCAAGGAATCCGTCACAGAGCAGAGCCAGTTGACCCGATAATCCCATGTATTTCAAAAATAGCACCGCTTATGCCTTCAGGATCCTTACTGGAGCGGAAAGAGACCCCCCCACACAACCTCTGCTGCTATTCATTCACAGCTGCTAGCAGTCGTCATATGAAGCCCTCCTCTCGAGACTTGCAAGGAAGAGGCCTCCATGCTGTTCAACGAACTGCCGTTGGCCAAACCAGCACCTATTCCTGAGACGCCGGCACCTTCTCAACGGGGTTCCATTGCTACAGGCTTGGGAAGCTTCCATCGGCACGAACAGGACCAGGCCGTCAAAGCAGTCAGTTCAACTGCCAACAGATTTGTTACAGGTATAGACTGGTCACAGACTCACTACGCAGGGCAGCCTTAAGCCATTCAGCTCTATAAGCCCCAGGTTGCCAACTTGGCAATTTTATCTATTTGTAGATTCATTTATACCCTGCCTTTCTTTCTCCCTGAGGGTGACCCAAAGCAGTTCACATCATCCTCTTCCCTTCTGTTTTCTCCTCACAACAACCCAGTGAGATAGGTTAAGCTGAAAGTGGTCCAAGGTCACCCAGCAAGCCTCCATGGTACAGCGGGGATTTCAACCTGAGTCTCCCAGATCCTAGGCCAACGCCACCACGCTGGCTCTCTAGGGCTGTATTTTGAATTGAGCGATAGCTGAGGGGCCAGCAGCGCCCCCACCACCACTCCGGTCCCAGAGCCAAAAAAGCAGACAAAATGTTTTTAGCTGCTTCTTCCCCATGACAAAGCGTAAGAGAACCTCTGTAAAAGCTTCCCCTCCATGCCCCTCCGCTGCTTCCTCTTCTACTCCTGACAAGATACCAAAACCAGTGTGAATCATAAGGAAAAGGCCACAAAACCCTCCACTGTTTTTTGCTCAGGGAGAAAGCCTAATCGAACACTCTCAGCCTAATCTCCTTCAAAGGGCTGTTGTGAGGATAAAATGGAGTGGAAAATATTATAAACCATTCTGGGTCCCCGTTGGGGGGGACAGGCGGGGTCTAAAGGAAATCATCCAATAAAATAAAGAGCTCTTTTGCTTGAGCTTTGACTAAAGGACAAGGAAGAAGGCAAGAGTCCAGCAGCACCTTAAAAGACGAACGAAATT